AAGGTACTGATACGAATTAAACCAAGGAGGTTTTTCACCACGAACTTCCTATAATGATGAAATTATAGTTGAGTAAAAAAAAAAAATGAAATTCTCTCTCCTCATCCTTCCCCCCCCCAACTAATCACACTCTGCTTTGTATTAGAGTGATTCGTGCCTATCTATATCTAGTTCCCTTATTAGAATGTAAGCTTCCTGAGGGCAAGGATAGAGTCCTAGCTTCTTTTCAGCTAACATCCAAGGGTGGGGAAGCTGCCCCTGATAACCCATTGTAAATACACAGCAGAATGAGAGGAGTTTTGAATTGAAGGGTCAGAAGGTTTGAGTTTCCTTCTCAATCCTGTTACAGCATTATCTCCTGGGCCACCTCAGGCAAGATGCCTTTACTCCCCTCCACTCCCAGAGCCCCAAACTTTCTCATCTATTCCATGAAGTAATTGGAAGAGAGCATCTGCGAGGCCCCTTCTGGCTCTGAATGCAATGATGCTAGGTGGTCAGTAAACATAGATGGGGCAACTCGTAGACGTGGGAGAATGAGACAGAAGGACACAGGATAAGGAATAACTTTTGTTGGGTGTTAAATGCTTGACAAGGGCGATCACACCTACTTTGTGCAACAGCCCTGTGAGGTAGGCAGGGCAGGGTTGGGGGTTGGGAAGAAATTCAGAGAGAGTTTTCCATTGTGTCAGCAGAATCTTCTCCTGCTTCCCTTCTGGGTGACTCCGTCCTCCCCCCCCCCCCCAGCTGCCTCTGGGAGCTCCGGGAGACTTGTAAAGCTGTCAGTGCTAGTGAGTCAGGGGAGGGTGGTCCTTCCCCTGTGGCACAAAGCAGCTGAGTGAATTCTCCAGGGATCAGGAGGTGGGAGAACATGTGTGTATTGGGAGGAAAGGGGAGATAGGGTGCAATGAGATCCTCCCCAGGGCTCTTAGAATCAGATTTAGAGCTGGGAGGAATCTTAGAAGCCAGGCATAGCCTAGGGGAAGGCTGTAGCAAAGACCTGGACCCTTGGATAAGTGTGTCCCCATGGTCAGGCTCCTTGGACCACTTAGAGCACTTTCCCAATCTGGCTTGGCAGGGCTTTTCTGATGTTAGTGATCCCCGACGCAGAGGGTTATTTCTCTTTTCTCCTTAGATCCCCATCCTCCCCATCCCCTGCCTCCTCCACCCAAGCTCGAGCTAAAGCCCTGCACATCTCAGGAAGTTTTCCCACACTGCTCCAGCCCAGGTCCATCTCTCCTACAGTATCCTACAGTTTAGCATTTTTCTCTCACTGTCTTGTGTTGGTGGAGAGCATCAGCATGGCACTGTAGAAAGAGCACTGGATTTGGAGTGAGAGGACCTGGGCTCAAATCTCAGCCCTGCCAATTATGGTCTTTGGGACCCTTTTCTTGCTCAGCCTCTGTTTCCTCATGTGTTAAAATAAGGGGGTTAGATTAGATGGTATGGAAGGTCATTCCCAGTTTTAAATCTACATTCCCTGTGTGTGAGTCCTGTCAACTAAGCATGACGGGGAGTTTCTTGAGTGACTGTGTCTGTTCCTCCTCCTATCTTCAGTGTCCAGTTTTGGACACTGCTCCCTCTATACCCTAGCTGGGGTGGGGGAGGGGGAACCTGTGGCCTTGAGGCCACATGTGGCCTTCTACATCCTTTTGCAGTCAACAGGCCTCACTTAAGGATTTAGAAGGCCATATGTGGCCTCAAGGTTGCAGGTTCCTCACCCCTGCCCTAGTTTATCCTAACCATCTGGGCCTCAGTTTCCTCATCTCTAAAACAAATGAGTTGGACTAGATCAAAAATGCTTAACCTGTAAACTTATTTTTAAAATATTTTGATGGTAATATTTGTTTTTTTGTTTTGTTTTGTTTTCAGTGAGGCAATCGGGGTTAAGTGACTTGCCCAAGGTCACACAGCTAGTTCGTGTCAAGTGTTTGATCTGAGGCTGGATTTGAACTCTGGTCCTTCTGACTTCAGGGCCGGTGCTCTATCCATTGTGCCACCTAGCTGCCCCTGATGGTAATAGTTGTAATAAAAAAAGCACTTAGTGCAGTTCCTGGCACATAGTAGGTATTTAACAAATGCTTATTCCTTTTTCCTTTCCTTCCCCTAACTGCATTTCAGTATAATTGGCTTTCTTTGGAATCCTATGTATTTTCTATTATGCATTTAAAATATTTTTTTTCTGAGAAGGGGTACATAGGCTTCACTAGATGACCACAGGGGGTCCATGCCATGAAAAAGGTTAAGAACCTCTGGACCTGGGGCAGGTAGGTGGTGGAGTGGATAGAGCTCCAGCCTTGAAGTCAGGAGGACCTGAGTTCAAATCTGGCCTCAGACACATAACACTCACTAGCTGTGTGACTCTGGGCGAGTCATTTAACCCAAATTGCCTCACCCCCCTCCCAAAAAAAAGAACCTCTGGACCAAATGATCTCTATGGAACCTTTAGGCAGTGTGGAATAGTAGTTACAATGCTTGACTTGGAGTCAGGAAGTCCTGGATTCAAATTCTGCTTCTGACACTGGCTACATGTGGAACTATGGGCAAGTTACTTAACTTCCCTCGCCTTCAGTTTCCTCATCTGTAAAATGGGGATAATAATACCCATAGTGAGGCTCAAATGACATATTGCGGGTAAGGTGCTTTGTAAGCCTTAAAATTCAAATGCCATCTACCAGATATTTTAGTTTTCAATCCTGTGATTGCCTTGATTCTTCCTCCTTCTCTTTGGTTCTTGCAAAGAATATTGAGGCTCCTTGGGGCCCTGTGCCTCTCAACAAGAAATCAATTGCTTCCCATCTCTTGAGGTTTGGTCCAGAGAAAGGCCCTGGTAAGCATAATTGGAGGTGGCTGATCCAGAAAAAATCCATGGTCCGATTGATACATACATAGGCAATCCAATCTCTTAGACTGGAGCATGGGCTGACGGCCAGTGAACTCTGGCATCAGCTCTGAAAGGATGCAACCCATAGATAATGCAAAATAATGCTAAGTAGATGCAAGGTAGCTGGTTTCTTTCATATATATAAGGCAATGCCCCTCCTATCTGTCCTCATGGACAGGAAAAATAAATTATCTCAAGGCGTTTTTCCTCATTTTTGCCTTAAATTTTTTCATCTCCTGAGACAAGCTGGCAGTGAACACGTAGATCGAATGAAGGGAACTTACTTTGTGTGTGAGGTTCGAATGAATGTTAGGTTGTAAGCTCCTTGAGGGCAGGGATTATCTTTTGCCTTTTTTTGGTATGCCCAGCACTTAGCATAGTGCCTGGCACATAGTAGGTGCTTAATAAATGTTTGTTGATTAGTTAAGAGCACATTATTCTTAGTGGGCCTGGGGACGTTGCTGTCTAACAGTGAGGATGCTTACAAAGATTACCTTAAAACTGGAAAGTATCTTAGAGATCAATATCATGAAGAAACTGAGCCCCGAAGAAAAGAAGTGACTTGTCCAAGGTGACACAAGGACTTTGTGGAAGAATATGGAGTAGAACCTGGGGGCCCTGGTCAGATATGCTTTCTATTACACCTGTGGTGTGGGCAACTAGGTGGCGCAATGGATAGAGCAGTGGACTTGGAATCGGGAAGACTCATTTTCTTGAGTTCAAATGTGGTCTCAGATACTTACTAGCTGTGTGACCCTGGACAAGTCATTTAAACCTGTTTGCCTCAGTTTTTCATCTGTAAAGTGAGCTGGAGAAGGAAATGCAAACTGCTCCAGTATCTTTGCCCAAAAAACCCCAAATGGAGTCACGAAAAGTCAGACAAGACTAAATGACAATGAAGGGGTATGCTAGAACCAAGTCCAATCAGCTTTTCAGAGTTGATTGTTAAATTTTCAGTGTCAGCATTTATACCACAGATATTGACCGATGCTATGAATCAGGGCTTGGTTTATTGTTTTGTTGATTGTCTAGACTTCAGGAAGTGATAGGGAAAATGTTAATAATGCAGATTAAGCTGAAAAGTGAAGCATTAATCAGCACACCCCTGATTACATCACACTGACTCTCTAACAAGAATGCCTGTGCATTTCGAGAACACCATAGACTTTCCTATTTTAAAAATATATGTATTTTTTCCTCTTTATGGAAAATGTTCATCTCATGTATGCCACTAGATGATAAATGAAAATGAGAAGAATCTTGGAGATCATCTGACATCATGATGCCTTCATTTTACAGATGAGGAAACTGAGGCCTAAGGAAATCAAGTTGATTTGCCCAAGGTCTACCAGATTCTCAAATTTTCTCCCTAGCTTGACCAGACTGGAAGTGAAAGGGCTATTCATGGGATTGATCCCACTCAGATTGGCCCAGGAGTTTTGGCTGCTCCATTTCCCTGGGCCTATTAGATCCCTCTCAGGTAACCTGGTGGTTCCCTGTTCCTGAGGGCTCTCCATCTTTAATGCTAAATTTAGTCTGGACATCTAATCAACGTAGTACACTGCAGCTCAGAACTCTGAACTCAAGACGTCTGCCATCCTCAGCCTCCATGGCTGCAAGGATTGCAGGTGTGTGCCAAGGCTACCATAGACTTTCGAAAAGTGCTTTCAAATTCACTCTTTGTAGGAGCTCCATCTATAAAATGGAAACTTGTTTTATACTACAAAGAATTCACCTTTAATAGGCTTTTGGTTGTGGTTTTGGTATTGTGTGTGGGTGGGGAGCATTTGCTCAGTAAAAGAGAGGTATGGCTTTTGTAAGTGTAAGAGAAAGATAATGGTCATGGTATGGATAATGGTGCTGGGGTTGGGGGGGATAATGATGTTGGAGATGATGATGTCTGTTGAATGAATGATGACTAACAGTGGGGTGGTGATGATGATAGTGATACTGGTGGTGATGGCCGTGACAGTGATGATTGGTTGATGGAAGCCAAGGTGACAGTGGATGGTCATGATAGTGGTGGTTGCCTCTATCACATAGACTGTTCTTGGGGCATGGATGGCATCTTGGTGGCCTTTTGACAATGTGCTTTCATAGGTGACTCATTCCCTTGCAGATTCTATCGGCGGCCCCTTCCCTGCCTCCTCTCACCGATGTCACCACAAACAGAAGCACTGTCAGCCAGCGCCCCAAGGCGGGAGCCTTCCGGCCACACCACTCCTCTTCCATCCACACACCAAGGGCTCCCAGATCCTGATGGACCTCAGCCACAAGGCTGTCAAGCGGCAGGCTAGCTTCTGTAATGCCATCACCTTCAGCAACCGGCCCGTCCTCATCTATGAGCAAGTCAGGCTAAAGGTGGGCCCGTTTCCTGGGCCCTCAAACACTATCCTCCTTATTCCTGGTCCCTGCCTCCTTCCTGCCCTCGTTGCCCCATCCTCTACCTCCTCCTTACCCTCGTCCTCTCTAACTCCTCTCTTTCCTTCTTTCTCAGCCATTCCTTCCTGTATGCCTAAAGAATAGGGGAAGATGGCGGAGGTGGGAGCAAATCTGGGAGGTCTCAATCCAAAACAGGGACAGGCTAGATAAACTACCTGCTCTGATAGGCTCCATAGGGGAAGACTTCTTGGAGGAAGTGTATTGGAGGGAATCTCAAGTGGTTGTTAAAACACTAGGAGTGAGAGCAGGGTTTCCCCTCTCCTTTCCCAGTTCAGATGTGGAGCCATGTAAAGTCTGCTAAAAGGGTGAACTATACTGGATTGGGGAAGGGAGGCCCTATATGAATCTGAATTGAGTCTTTTCTCCCCATGTCTTCTACAGATCACCAAGAAGCAATGCTGCTGGAGTGGAGCCCTTCGGCTGGGATTCACATGCAAGGATCCATCCCGAATTAACCCTGACACGTTGCCCAAGTATGCCTGTCCTGACCTTGTATCCCAGAGTGGCTTCTGGGCCAAGGCGTTACCTGAGGAATATGCTAATGAGGGTAACATCATTGCCTTCTGGGTGGACAAGAAGGGCCGTGTATTCTACCGGGTCAACGACTCTGCCGCCATGCTGTTCTTCAGTGGTGTCCGAACTGCTGATCCCCTGTGGGCCCTGGTTGATGTCTATGGCCTCACAAGAGGTGTCCAGCTGCTTGGTAAGTCCTTGTTCCCCCATCTTCCACCTATATCTTTCTCCGCCATCACCCACCTAGGGCCAAAGTCTTCAGAGCAGACCTTGGATGTTCGGTAATAATGACAGTAACAATAATTGTGTGCTTACCTATGTATAGGCATTCCCTTCTCCCACCTTCTTAGTATCATTAATTGATTCCATGGAAACACAAGTTTAAGTGAAACAGAATTCACAGGACTTATCTTATTAATGGATAATTGGCCAAATGATATTACATGAGGTTTTTTGCCATTATGGAGTAGTTTAGTTATAATATTGGAGACAGTTAGATGGCACAATGGATAGAACACCAGGCTTGGAGTCAGCAAGACCCAAGTTCAAATTCAGCCTCAGACATTTACTAGCTGTTTGATCCTGGGCTTCATTTTGTTTGCCTTGGTTTCCTTGTCTGTAAAATGGGGGTACCTCCCAAGATGGTTGTGAGGATCAAATGGGGTAATAATTGTGAAGCACTTACCATAGTACCTGGCGCATAGAAAGTACTACATAAATGTGAATTATTATTATTATTATTATTATTATTATTATTAATGTATCCATGTTGTTATTGTAAAACAAGATGGCATTGACCTTGGCCAACACTATGGGAAGCTGGCTTGAAAAAATGATCCACAGATTATAAAGAGCTTTTGCCAGCATTATCTCACTAGCCTCAGCATCAATAGGAGAGGTAGACAGGAAAGAGATTGATCCTGTCATTTTAAAGATGAGGAAGTTGACATTTAAATCAGTGAAGTGACTTACCTAACCTCACTCAGCTGCTCGATGGTTGGAACAAGGACTGGAACCTGAGTTTTCTAGCACCCACTCAAGCCTTTTTTCCACTACGTCACAACTGCCATCTGTGGTCCCTGGATCCCTTCCCATTTCCTGCCCCCTCTTTCCTGCAGCCAGCTGTCTGTATAGAGTATCTGGGAGGGGAGGAGAGGAATCAGGCAGCATGTGGTTGATTAGGCCGGGTAATTAGGGTGATAAAGGCAGGACACACGAGGCCATGGAAGGAGATAGGGGTGAAAGATCACTGGGCAGCCTTTGGCAAAAGAGAATTTTCTCCCTCAGGAACAAATTCAAGGCCCAGATTTCCTGTGCCCCACTAGGGAAGACACAGGGTCACAAAGGCTATTACAAGGGTTCTCATCTTGTTCCCCTTCTCCACACCTCAGGCAAGGAAGGAAAAGATTAATAGATTCCTTTAAGCCCTAGAATAACTTGGCTATATGGAACATTCAAGCTTATGGTGACCCTTAGAGATCTTCTAACACTGTCATTTTACTGAGGAGGAAACTGAGGTCCAGTGAGGGTCAGTAATCTTACCCATGACTCCCACTTCCTGGTTCTTTCCACTAGACCACAATGTGTATGAGTGTGTGTGTGTAAGGTATGTATATATGTGTGCATGACTTTGTGTAATTATACATAGGCACATACATACATTCAGACTCATGAGCAAGAACCTGCCAATTTATACGTTGAAAATCAGAATTTGTCTCGCTGCAGAAAAGAATTTGGTTTAGGCCTTAAAAAACACAATGCAGTCAACTTAAAAAACAACAGTAAATGTGCTTCAGACTCTCAAATCAGTGAGGTCAGAAGCACAGAAAATATATTTTTAAATGCCTTAATTGAATGAATAGACATAGTTAAAGATAATGAAATTAATAACAGTAAAAAACTTCTCTTTTTTTGCGAATCCCAGAGATAGTAAAAATATTTCATTAGCATAGTGACTGGGAACTGAGCTTAGCATTGCTTCTGCACAGTAAATGTGTTTCTTAATTAATTTTAGTCTTTTCTATTTTATGTAAGCCCCAACCTGAGGTCTACTTTGCATTGACAGTTTGCAAACAGGTTGGATGATGCAAATGGGCAGCCTACTATATACTACAGTGGAAAGAGACAGCATGGGGTTTGAGTGTCAGCTCTGCTGCTTATGGGGCTGGGCACGTCATTTCTCTGAGCCTTAGTTTCCTCATCTGTGAAATGGGAATGAGAACACTCCTACTACCTACTTCATAGGGTTGTTATGAGAAAAATGCTGTGTAAGCTGTAATGTGCATTAGAACTTTGTTTTCTAAGGTGACACGTGATCTCCATTTTGCATGTTACATGTGTGCGTCTGGTGGTACATGCCAATTATACCTTGTGTGCATACTTTCTGACGTGTTCTGATTTCTATGCTATCTGTTACATGGAGACTGAGCATCTTATTCTTGCAAAGGCTTGAGTTAGTCCTAGTGGAGAGGATGGGATGAGGCTGGAAAAGCTAGGGAAGAGAGCCAGGCCTAGTTATGGGCCCAGGCTGGGCCAGAAGGCCCCACGTAGCTCTGATCCAAGACCATCCCAATTATGTGTCTGTGAGCCTTGGCATCATCTCTCTCTGAACATGCGCATTTCTCAGTTCTGTTTCCTACTAGCAGCCACTAGAGTACAAGGCTTTTTTCCATGGCTTGTGACCATCCCCATTGCCTCCACTCTGTGGGCGTCCCTGGCCATGTCCCTGAACTCTCCTGAAACTGTTCACAGCCGTCATCCCTGTCTTAGGGCACAGAGATCAGACTGGTGCTGAGGAGGGGGCTTTAACGAGGGGGCTCAGATAGTGGCCAGAATGAAGAGGGAACGGTTCAGCCGAGACTCTGCAGGTCCTTTGTCTGTCTGCACTCCAAAGTCACACTGCTGACTGAAGCTTCTGCTCTGTTTAGACAGCCATCATTCTGGCTGTGTTCTGAGATGATATTTGTAATATCTGCATTTAGCAGAGTTCCTGGCACATTGTAGGTGCTCAGTAAATGCTAATTTCCTTCCTTCCTTTCTTCCTTCTTTTCTTTCTTTTCTCCATCCCTCCTTCCCTCCATCTATCCTTCCTTCTTCCTTTTCTTCATCCTTTCCTCTATCCCTCATTCCTTCCTTCCTTTCTCTTTTCCTCCATCCCACCTTCCCTCCATCTCTCTCTTTATTCTTTTCTTCTTTCCTTCCTTTTTTTCTGTGTGCATAGAGCCAGAAACAAAGGGAGTCACTTGCCTATCCCTTGGTCCCATCAGGGGGTACTCTGTATTACAGCTATAGGCTGCCTCAGCATCACTCATCCATAGTTTCTTTTGGCAAGCATTTACTGAGTGCCTGCTGTATACTCAGTCCTATTTTCAATGGTGTAAGGGGAAGAATAACAGAAGAAATCATAGCTTTTGCCCACAAGGGACTGACAGTTTAGCAGGGAGACAAGACACACACATGAAATACTTGTCATCAGGCAAGATGGTTTGTGCTCAGAGGTCAGCTGAGCTGTCTAACTTTCAGCACTGTGGGAGTTCAGAGGAGGGAGGAGTCACTGAGTTGGAAGAGGCAAGTGTTTTGCTTTTGATGGAGTGAAGTGGGAGTCAGGAGATCCAGGTTCTAAAGTTGGCTTTCCAATGTGACTTCCCCTCTCTGGGTCTCAGTTTCCTTCTCAGTACAGTGAAGTAGTAAGAGTGGGTGATCTCTAAGGCCTCTGCCAACTCTTAACATTTAGTGTTAGCAAGGAAGGCTTCCAGGGCCTTCCTGCAAGTGGAGGCCTTTAGCTGGGCTTTGAGGAGTGGGTAGGGTTTGGATGGGGGATAGAGGGGAAAAAGATACTTCAGGTGCAATGAAAAGCACACACAGAGGTGCAGAAGCAGAAATGAGCCTGAAATTCATTATAATAATAACTCGTATTTATTTATAAGATTTTAAGGCTTCTCAAGTCCTTTCCTGACAACAACCATGTGAGGTAGGTATTGCAGGGATTAGTATCCCCATTTCACAGATAGCAAAGATGAGGTTCAGAGAAGTTGTGATATGCCCAGGATGACACAGGTAGTAGACATGAGAGTAAAAACTCTAAGACCAGGCCAGGCTGCCACGCTGGAGTGGAGGGTACATGGTGGTGAGCAATGTGGGGGTTAAGGCTGGAGACAGCAGGAGTCAGTCTGGGGAGGACCTTGAATAACAAGCTGAGGTGTTTAGACTTCATTCTGAAGGTGATGGAGAATCAGTGAAGAAGAAAGCACGGAGTGAAAAGCGCTTCCTTTATTGTGTACTGGATATTCTGTACTTCTGGGTTTGCTGGCACTGACCACTGGGAACAGGGTTCAGATGAGTGTATTTCTACAGTCTTTAAGTCTGAGTTTCTCGGACTCTCTGGAACTGGTCATGTTGGAGAATGAAGGCTCTCTTTCTCTCTCTCTCTCTCTCTCTCTCTCTCTCTCTCTCTCTCTCAACAATCAAAGTTAAGTGACATGCTGAGGATAACAAAGCTAGTAAGTGAGGCTGGATTTGAACTCAGGTCCTCCTGAATCCAGGGCTGGTGATCTATCCACTGTGCCACCTAGCTACCCCTCCTCCTCTCTCTTTCTTAAAAAGAAAAATGTTCTGGGGGAACCGACTCCTTTCCTTGTGTGGCTATGGCCCCTACAATGGAATACAGTGTAAAGGCAGGGGCTGGGGCTTGCGAGGGGTGTTTTAATCAGAAGCTGTGGCGAGGTAATGCACCTGTAAACCATCTCCCCAGAAAGCTCTGCCCCAGCTCCTCCTCTTCTCTCTAGCTCAGCTTCTCAGCTCCAAAAGGGAGAAGGAATATCAGCTCCTCATAAAGTTTTATAGGCCATAAGCACTGGCCTCATAGTTGAGATGAAAATCTCTAATATGGCACCCTTGTCTGCCCACTCCTGCAAGGGCAGGAGGGAGCCAGAGGTGGGGGATGGGAGAGGGGAGCAGGAATTCTAAATCTGAACAGAAGGTAAGGGACAAGCTGATCACTGATGGCAGAGGCTCCTGGGGCCAGCCTGGTCCCTTTATTCTATAAAGGCAGGGGCTAGGGGGTATGAGGGAGTATCCCATCCCACGTCTCACAAGAACCTGAAATCATCTCACTCCATTTAGCTGACTTAGAATCATAGAATGTTAGAGATGGAAAGGCTTCTATAGTTTAGGGGTTCTTAACCTGAGGTC